TCACATTCCCAGCATAAGGTTTTACTAGTTATTTCTTTACTTCTGCTCTTATCCAGCAATATAGCTTTGTGTCCCCCAAACCACTCTGCTTACACCTGCAATAGCTATTCCCTATTTATCTGAGATTTGCATTGGACTGGTTTGCAGTATTTTGTCTGGCAGCACTACCAAGAAAACGTAACATATTGACCTATTGAACATATTGAACATATTGAACTAAACAGTTAATTACTCACCCTTGCAGAATGAGAACTTGGAGTAAAGTCATGCAAGTGTGCAACTGGGGTAAACCACCTGTTTGCTAACAATTGGACATGCACACAAAACCTGAATCTTTGGGTGTAATAGACTTTGTTGGAGTCTATGCAGCTGAGTTCTGGGCCTACTGTGGTAGGCACAGAAATAAGGCAGAAAATCTCTTTCCCTAAGTTCAATGGCCTAACACCTTAGAGCCTTCCTTGATTTGTCTAAGTGTTAAAGATCCCTAACCGTGGATGTGCTCCCTAGAGAAACAAGGATTCTCACCACCAATGTCCAAGTCCCAATGCACGACCCTCCTCCCACTTACCTTCTCATGACCATCTGAGCCTGGAAATCCTCATTGGCTGCCCAATTTCCAGTCTTCATTTCACACACTTGTTCTTTAGAATCCAGCCTCATCATCACACAAAGTCTCACCTGCATGAATTCCTGGTCATGCCTTAGCTTGGTTTCTGCCTTAGCTTCTCTGCCTGATGCAGTGGGTGTAGAGTTCTGACTGATGGTTCAGAGTTGGGAAGGAAAGAGAGGTTTAGAAGGACTCTTCTAACCTGTGAATATTCACTGATAATGTCTTTTGCTTGTGCTTAAGATTTTCTTGTTCTTTGGGAAGAAATGACAATTTGAATCATAAGGACAAATTGTATGAAAATTAAACAGTAGCTGAATTGAATAAATTGGCAGTAAATTGGAGGTAAGGTCCATACTACTTCCCATTTTGCCCAGGTTTTGCAAGAAAGTAATAGCTGAATCTGCACAATTTCCACGTGATTTCTATGTTTTCCCTGAACTCTCAAAGTGCAAGTTCCAGTGACTATTTGCACTGAGTAGTTCCAGAGTGCTTGACTGTCCCTCTGAAGGCTCTGACCTCCACAGTGACTTCCCATAGGAACGTCTGCTTTCTCTGTAGCATGGAAGTGTTTTCACGTACATGTCTGTTTTGAATATCTCTGCAGTTACTTTGTGCAGACAGTACCTTGAGGTGAGAGCTATACAAGGAAAATCATGGTGAACTTTATTTCCAAAATCACTGTTGTGGACTGAATAATCAACTGCAGAGTCTTCATGAGGGGAAACATTAGAAACTTAAGTAACTTCAATAAATAAGTTCTTATGGAAGGGTGGTGAGTCCAAATACTATGCACAAGCATTCCAGAAAGGATGGCTTCCTTGTTTGGCCCTCCATTTGTTATATCAGGTGATTCTTTATTTCCAAGTTTCTAATAGTTTTAATATAAGATTGGAATGACTCCCTTCAGAGTCATTGAGATAAAAACTGCATGGTGGGAAAATTGATCGCAGATGCAATTCTTTTGTATCACATCTAAATCCACACCCTAGAAGGAGAGATAATTAGATTAGCTTTAAAGTTATTTGGGTTGTGCAGCCAATAAAGGGAGTAGGTAAAAGTCTTTCACATTATGATGGCCATGCCTGCAGAAAGCCTCTGTGCAGGCATTGACTGATGGAGAAAATCTCTTTGGACATAGATCACATGCCTCAGAAGACCATGTCCAATCACAGAATGGCAAGATACTGTGTTTGTGTCTTGTGGAGTTTGCAGTCTGGGCATCTGGAGGTTCTTGGTGGTGTTAGATGTCAGGGGTCTTTAGAGTAATCTTGTGGAATGAGAAATGAAACTAAACTTGCATTGGCCTAAGATACAGAGAGGATGTGATGATTGTGGAGTTTCTTTGGGAAGCATCACAAACTCAAGTCCTAAATTGATTTTGCTATGACATGCTTTCCTAAATTACAAAAAAATAGCAGGGCTGAGGGACTGAAAGTGTGCCCAAAATCCTTGCTAGGTCTGAAATAGCCCAGACTGTCAAATCTTCGTTAAAGTTATAATTAAATTTATAATTAAAAACCTTATAAAGATCTATGAATCAACAACTATGGAAAAAGTCCAAGCATTCGATAAATGCAGTCAGAATGATAGTGTAGTGCACTAATTGCATTTCAAAAAGCTCTGGAAATGCACTCAGGGCAAAGCACTTCTTAGATTGTTTGCCAGATCGACAATTCTCTGCCAGAATTTTTTTTTAATTAATTCATTTATTTATACAAGCACTGGGTACTGTCAGAAGCGCGGGAGGGTGAAAGAATTCACCAGAGACAGAGCGGGGAGCAGAGCAGGCAGACTGAGGAAATACACTGCTAAGGGGAGCAGCGGGCGCGGCAGGAGAGGTCTGCGCGCCACGTGGGACCCTCGCCGGCGGCCGGGGATCGAACTGGCGCTACAGAGGCTGAGGACAGCTTCACAGCCCAGCGCTCAACCGCTGCGCCACCGGGGAGGCTCCGGAACTGTTCTTTAATGGAAACTTCAGAAATGGCCGGGAAAAGCACACGCCGTTTTGAAAGGCATGAACAAGAATCCAGGAAATGCACTGCAAAAGGGTTTGCACGCATCTGCCCCAATTTGCTTCAGGGTAAAGCTCTGCAAAACATTCCCCGGTGTCACATGAGCGCGTGAAGTGCACGCTTGTCATTAAAATCGTGAGTGCTGCTTCCACTCGCGCTGGCTCTAAGGAGTACGGCCAGCAGGAAAGTTCTGGGGGTAACTGGCGCTGGCGCCTGCGGAGCTGCCACGACGCCCCGGGGCGCCCTGGCTTTCCTCCCCTGCAAGGGCACCTGGGACTGTTCCCCGCCTGCCCCGCGCCGCAAGCACGTGCCCGCCCGCGGGGGGCGGAGCTGTGGAGCCCGAAACGTCATCACCCAACGGCTCCCAGCGTCCGTTGCGGCTGTTTAGTGCGTGAGACGCGCATGCGCGCTACCGGGGGCGCGGCCACAACGGCCCTTCTTTGGGGGCGGGGCCTGGCAAGATGGCCGCCTCGTCGGTTGTGTCAATGTGGAGGTAATGGGCGCGCGGAGTGTCTGGCTCTTAGGTGTGCCGCTCTGTGCCTGTTGTTTTTATGTCAGATTTCTTGTACTCTGTCTGTGTGGGGACACCCCACCAGTGTTTGTGTGCACCCCCGTAGCTCGGTTGGGGGGCTTTGATACCCCCGGTGGGCACCCACCTCACTCCAGGGGCACTTTGGTTCAAGGATGCTTGTCCAAGGGGCTTAAATGATACCTGGGTTAAAACAAGTCTTGGTGTGTTTGTGCTTTCTGAATAATGTAAAAAGCCAGAGGGGAGTACTTCCAGATTTCAAATCATTACCTCTTCCCAATGTAGACACTCAGGTTATTGTAAATGAGTGACTCTACATATGTCCTTCCTCACAGTTTTTTTCTTAATAACATAAAATCATCAACCATTGGGCCTCCCCGGTGGCGCAGCGGTTGAGCGCTGCGCTGTGAAGCTGTCTGCAGCCTCTGCAGCGCCGGTTCGATCCCCGGCTGGCCAGGGAGATTCCCATATGGCGTGGCAGACCTCTCCTGCCTCGCCCGCTGCTCCCCTCAGCAGTGTACTTCAGTCCTTCTGCCTGTTCTGGTGAATTCTCTCTGTCTGCCTCTGTCTCTGGTGAATTCTCTCACCCTCCCGTGCCTCTGTCCTGTACCCCAGTGCTTGTGTAAATAAATAAATCTTTAAAAAAAAAATCAGCAGCCATTATGTCCTAACTGCGCTCTCTTCTCAGTGAGGCAGCAACTTTGCTCAATCCCATCGTAATCAGGCGTTAATCATGCTCTGGTGTTACCAAATGATAATGGAATTGCATAAATGTGTGGGCTGTAGATCCAAGAGCAGCTGAATCAACAAAAAACGTTAAGAATTGTGTAGATGAAATTTACAATGGAGAGATAAAGAATGTATTTTATTATCCATCAATTACGTGTCAATCAGTGGTGATATGGTTAAAATTAATTCTGTATGTTTATGTGTATTTTTATATCCTACTTTCTTCAGAGTGAGGTGGCTCAGGTGGTTAAGTCTTTGCTAGCACAACACTGTCTGTTCACTTGGGGCTTTGGAGGTTTTGTGTTTGTATTCTGTGAAGTCACTGTGAGGGTGTGTTTGTAGTGTGAGCTACATATATGTGTGCTCACAGGCTTGTGCGGTTCAGTAAGTTTTATGGTTGTTTTTATAGATGACAGTTGTTAGTTGTTGTGTGTATCTATAAACCTAAGTTGTATATGCATATGTGTGGATCTCCTGGAGATTGTGATACTCACGGCAGGGTTATTTTGGAAATGTCATGATTTGGCAGACACATGAAATGTGTTTATGTGAATTCCTCATTTGGGGCTTATTTGTGTATTTAATTAGTAGTGGGAATATGATGAGTGTATTTGTATAGGTGGAAATGCCTGTGTGGATACTTGTGGTTAACTGGTAGTCATGAGTGTGTTTTTGTTATTGGAGTTGAGTTATTCAGAGGGTCTGAGTTGTAATTTAAATTTACTTTTGAATTTGAGGTTATGCATTTGTTATCTAGGCCTTTGCAAGATGTTTGTCTGTGCATGTTTTCCCCAGAATTTTGGAAGTTTGTGTGTAATGTGGTTTGGCAGGGTTAGCTGCATGTGTACATTGGCATTGTTGGGGGAAGTCCTAGTGGTATAGGGTTGTTTATTTTGTATGTTTTCAAAATGTACTCAGGGCATGCTGTATGTGTTTTATGTATGTATGTATTTTATATTTTAAAAGGACAGGTTTATTAGGAACAGAAGAAAAAGGCACCTGCAAAGTCACCTGTGGGTACAAGAGCAGCTTTATTTCCTTTGGTGATTTTCAGTAATTGTTAATTGCATTTGCTTTTTTTTTTTTTTTTATAATATTTATTTATTTAATATATGCACTTGGTACAGTCAGAAGCTCAGGAGGGTGAGAGAATTCACCAGAGCCAGAGCGGGGAACAGAACAGGCAGACCAACGAAATACTGCTGAGGGGAGCAGTGGGTGCGGCAGGAGAGGTCTGCCTGCTGTGTGGGACCCTCGCCAGCGGCTGGGGATCGAACTGGTGCTGTAGAGGCTGTCTGCAGCTTCGCATCCCAGCGCTCAACCGCTGTGCCACCAGGGGAGGCCCAATATGCATTTGCTTTTGTAAAACCCCATTTTATGGAAATTATGGTATGTGTAGGTCAGTGGCTTTTATGGAGTGGAATTTATAGGAATCTGTATTTTGGACAATGGTGAGGTTGTTTTAGTGTATTTGAGAGTGTGGATTATGTATATGTAGGTGGTGTGAGCTGTATGTACTGGGGGATATAGAGTAAATGTTCTCATAATTGTAATGTGCTGGGAATCATAGGTATTAATGGTTTGTGGTGAGAATCATATATTGAATTTGTGTGTGTATACAAGGAACATGGAAAATTGGATAAAAATTTATAGGGTATATTTGCATTTTCAGTAATGGGTTATTAGTGTCAAAGATTCAGACTAAAGTAAAACCAATCAATCATCAAAGTACTGTGGACTGAAAGAATAATCCTTGTCAGAGCGGTCTCCCCTCTGTAAAACTGCTGAGCTGGCCCCTGCAGATGCTTGAAGTCACTAAAAAGAAAAAAAAACATATAAATACAACTTTTACTGTGAAGTACATGCAGCCCAATCAACACACCTAGACCCATTCCCCCAATTGTCATGTTTTGACATGCAGAAGGAGATGAGCTGCACAGCTCTGTCTTCATGTCTGCAAACCACACTCAAGAGTAGAAAAAAATTTTCTAATCCCAGGTCTTCTGCTATTCCCACCCCACAGAGAGATAAAATCTGACTGCAGAATAAGAGCAATTTTGATTATACATTCCTTTTTCCTGGAACCAGAATATAACCAGATGTCTCCTTTACCTGTGCATGGAAGAAGTATGTATCTCCTCCTGGGCATGTAGCCCAGCTGCACAAAACTCATATAACAGACCAGAACATGTAGACTAGCACTCAGAGACTATCTAGTGCTGCATCCTGGGGTTGAATCCTCAGTTTGCTCTGACTAATCTCTTTAATAAACTTAAACATTAGTAAAAGAGTTTTGTGCACTCCAAAAGGACAGTTTGCAAACTGGGAGAAACCATCCAAAACATGGGATGAGGCTTTGGTGTAGATTGTTATAAAGTAGATTATATCATAAGGAAGCAGCATTCTTCATAGTGATTGGTAATATTAGAAGTTTCTTAAATGATAGTGAATTCATTAGTGGTTACCTCATATCAATTGTGGAAACAAATACTTGCTTATGATTTCCAGAGAAATGAAGAAATGCCCCAGATGAAGTTAGTCTTGACCTAGCAAAATAAGCTCAATTAAGCTTTCTTTTCTATGACTAGACTGGTTTTGTCTGCTCAGGAATTAAGACTAGTCTTCATTTTTTAAATTATTTATTGAAGTAATATTGGGTGTGTAACATAGGTTTCAGATGTACAGATAAATATCAATGTCTGTATAAATTACTTTGTTTATCAACAAAAGTATAGTCTGTACATCACCATACAATTGACCCCCCCTTTTTTTTAAAGATTTATTTTTTTTATTTATGCATATAAGAACTGGGATGTAGGTCAGAGGTACAGGGCATGAGAGGATTCAGCAGAGACAGAGTGGGGAGCAGAACAGGCAGATCTACTGAAATACACTGCTGAGGGGAGCAGTGAGTGAGACAGGAGAGGTCTGTTTCGCCATGTGGGTAGCTCCCTGGCTGGATATCGAACTCATGCTACAGTGGCTGATGATAGCTTGATAGCACTGAGACTTTAAACCCTGTGTCACCAGGGAGGCCTCAGTTGACCCCTTTTACATAATTTACCATTTCCCGTCTCCTTTCCCTTTTGGTAACCACTATTAAGATCTTGTAGTCTTTTGTGTCTAGAAGATGTGCCCTGGACACGAATGAAATGAAATCAGTTCTGCATGTTGTGTTCTCCGTGAACCCACGCTGATGACTAAAAGTCACTCCGTGATTTCTAAAATGCCAACCAACCACCTATTTAATAATACATTCTAGCGATAACCAAAATAATAAGGTCAACAGAACTCTAGCAGCAAATAAGTATATAACTTGACCATCTCGAATATTCTTAAAACCTCTCAAGTGTTGTCAATGGTAAGAGAAGTCACTACTGCAAGTACCTTTCATAGGCTGGGATAAGATTCATTGGGATCTAAATACCAAAAAATCACCTACAAGGGGTAGAAGTGCTCCTGCTAACTCATCGCAGACCTTCTATGCACATATTTTCTTTTCATGGTTGATATGTACTGCTCAGGCAGCCCCAATGAACAAGCAGCAGCTCCAATAAGTGAGTCATCATTACCTCTCCTTTGAAACATAGTGAAAACTACTTCCTCTGCCTGAACTGTGCCCCTCTCTCTACCCAGGTCCCCGCTCTGTCTGGCTAATCCATAGGCATCACTCCAGATGCAGCACATGTGCCCCATCAGCTGTGTGAGCAGCTGCTTTCATCTGTGTTAGAGGCTTTTCTCTGGAATTGTGCAGCTCACGTTTTCCCTACATCACAGAACTTATGAACCGTACTGGAATCATCCTTTTCTTGCATGTATTCTCGGCTGACGGCATGCAATTTGAGGGCAGGAACCAACACTTATGCTCTTTGTCATATGCACTAGTATATAATATAATCCCCGGCATGTGTGACATTACGAAAATTGGCTCTGGAAAACCTCCCACAATGCAGAATCAACCTGATTTTAAAAAGCCAAGGTAATAATCATAGATGTAACTGCTGATTTAATCACACGGATGAATAATATTCATTTTGGGGGTATATTTTAACGTTTCACTAATTGTATGGTTATTAAATGCTTATACATAATGATATAATAACTGAATGGATATATTAATGCATAAAATAATTTTAATATTTTCAATAATGAACTTTGAAAATGATTTTGATAGCTAATAGAGGGGAATTTGTGAAGTTAATCACAGTGCATCAATAAAATAGGATGCATGTATATGCAGACTTTTTGAAAAAAAAAAAAAAAAAAAAGATCTTGTAGTCTAAGAGTTTTTGTTTTGTTGGTTCACTGTTTCTTCACCTGAATGAAGTAATATGTTATTTGTCTTTCTCCATTTGACTTATTTCACTTAGTATCATACTTTGTGTTGTTGCAAATGGAAAAATTTCATTTTTTTAATAGCTTAATAGTATTCCATTGTGTATATATACCACATCTTCTTTATCCACTCATCCTTTGATGGGCACCTTGGGTTGTAACCAACTCCTAGATATTGTGAATAATGCTGCAGTGAACATGGGGATGCATATACCTCTATGGTTTAGTGTTTTCATATTCCTCAGATAAATACCCAGCATGGGAATACTTGGATTATACAGTATTTCTTTTTTTTTTTTTCCAGAAACTCCATATGACTATTTTCCATTTGGCTTCTCTAATCCATTTGTTTTCTATTTTAACAATCATTTCCACCCTTTTGGTCATTTTCTGAGACTGAGAGTATGAGCAGCCAGAATACTGTTATCCTGTTACCACATATTTGTTTCCTTTAACTGAATTGGCAGACCAGAGGGCCATGTAGTCACTTTTCATCTTTTATGTCATTGTTTATTTCATCCAATAATTTAATCTCCTGATGGATACTGTTTGATGTGTGACTGGTTGCTGACAAGCATCTAAAGCCCTTGAGAGTATACAATACACTAAAGAGGTTGCATGATGACTATAAAAAGAATAACCAGGTCTTGAAAAATGTCCCAGAGCAGACTGCCAGGAGCCAAGATTTAAATGATCAAACCAAGTAAGTCATAGTTAGATTCAGGTGTTATTGTTGTAAGTCAGTCTACAATTTTTTTAGTTATTTGCACAGGCATAACATGATGTATTAACAAACACATTCTCAAGATTACTTAGAACAGGGTGATTATGAGGCTATTTTATGAGGCAGTTTTGCAGGAGAGCTTCAACCTAAGTTAGGCCTCTGGATAACTGAAGTGAGCAATTAGGTAAATTAATGAGAAACATCTATGAAAACAACAGAAAAACAATGGTTAATTGTTGAACATATTACAAATTCAGTTTCTGAGTTTGGAGAGTAGCCAATTGAGAAAATTTCTAGATTTGAGTTCAAAGCATTTTTGGTGGAATGCAGAAGAGGCACTTTCAATCTGGTGCATTTTCCTGGTTTGTTATTTGACTGTCTTGGATTTATGTTATCAGGTATTCTGTTGAATTTTTCTGAGTGGCCCGTACAGCAATAGGTATGGAAGCTGTCCCTACGTGGTCTGTTGTGGTGATTTTCTTAAGTTTTCAAGTAGATAAAACCTTAAAGACAATTAACAGGACTAGATTCTGATAATACATTATAGTTTTCAATTGAAATACAGCATTTTTTTTAAGCCATCTTTTTTTTTAAAGTCACTTTTTCACAGTATTTACAGTGAAACTCACTGATTTGTGATATAAATCTAGTTTATTACACTTGGCTTATTTACATAGATATAGTGAGAAAATGCTTCTATGCATATTCTCAAGCATGAATTTAAATCAAAGCTTCTGTGAGTGGTTTTATTTACTCCATAAAGACAACCTTCATTCTTTAAAGTTGTCTGGTAATAAAGAATCACAGATTAGACATTTAAAGTCTCCTTAGGCTCAGAAGCCAAGTTTAAAAAAAAATCCATTTATAATTGCTTAAAAAAGAATTAAATACCTCAGAATCAACTGAGAGTTTAGTGTGCGTTCCACTATACAGTCATGCACAGTGACATTTTGGTCAAAACAGACCACACATATGATGGTGGCCCCCAAATTCCTATTGCCAGTGAGACTGAAGCCATCAGAAAATCATGGCAGCAGCTTCATAATTTGTGACATTTGCATAATATGCATAAAAATGAAATTGTACAAGGATACATTTCTCAGAACATACCCTCATTGTTAAACAACACATGACTATGTAATGAGTCATTTTTCTCTTGCACCTTTCAAAACTATTTGTCCTTGATTTTTGACAAGTTGATCATACTGTATCGGGGTGTAGTCATCTTTCCATTGGTCCTATCTAGCAGTCTTGACTACCATGAATCTCAGTGACTCACTCTTTCCTAAGATTTGGGAAATTTTTATTTCCTAAGTAAATATTATGCCCTATTCTCCCTTCCCCTTATGGGACTCCAATAATACATACAGTGGTTCTCTTGATATGGCCCATAAAACCTGTAGGCTATTTCCATATTAATTGTTTCCTTTTTCTCCTTAACTGGATAATTTCAAATGTTCCATTTTGTAGTTCACAGAATTTTCTGCTTGATGGAACTACATTGCATTTTTCATTTCATTCACTGTAATCTTTAGCTCCAGAATTTTTTTTTTTTTTTTTTTTTTTACAGTTAGTCTCCCTCCCTTTTGGAACCTATTCATAAATTGCTTTCATCCATTTGATATTTTGTTTATTTGTGTCCTCTTTTAGCTTGATGAGTTCCTTTAAAACAATTATTTTAAATTCTTTGGCAGGTGATTATCCTTGGATAATCACTTCCTTTAGGCAAGTAATTGGAAATTTATGATTCTTTGGTGAAGTCATTACTTCCTTGGTTTTTCATGTTCCATGTAGCCTTGCATCGATGACTGTACATTTGAAGTAGTTACCTCCTCCAGACTTTATGGACTAGTTTTGGTTAGGAAGGATCTTCATATTTAGGTGAGTGTAAGTGCTATGATTGGGTGAGACATTATTGCTTTAGATGCAGGGTGGCACAGCAGTGGTTCTGGCCCCAAGGTATACAGCTTTGTCCGCTCAATCATTATCAATGACTGCAGGTGTCCATGGTGATGGCATGAACTACTGGCATCCTTCTCCTCTCCTTTTCTCCTGCATGAGATGCATGAGTAGTGGCATGGGGGTTTGGGGCACAGGAATGCACAGTAGTACCAGGGGGATACTGGTACTGTGTTGAGATTCACAGCATTGGTTTCTGTTTCAGAGGAGCATGGTGCAGTAGACTCTGGGCAGCTTTATCAACTGTCATCATCCGTGAAGGTTGCTCTGGTCCTCAGTGGTAAAATGGGCAGGTGTCCATGGCATCAGTAAGGGCCACTGAAATCTTCAGTAAGGAAGGCTGTTCTGGTCTCCTCCCTCCCGGCAGAGGGAAATTACTGCCAAGGGGCTCTTACTGAGGAAGTAACTGTGCTGGCTTAGAGGTTGATGTGACACAGGTAAAATGCTCCCTTCACTTTTCTGTGCAGCTATCCGTGGCTTTTCCTGCCTCATTCTTTTTCTCAGCTACATTTTACTCCATTGTGTTTACATATCAGCTTACTCAATTTCCTATGTTTAATCATTCAAGCAATTTTCAGTATTTTGCAACTATAAATAATGCTGAAAAAAATAACCATGTGTATGTGTATATTCACACACAAGTTGCAAGTGAATCTGCGGCATAGTCTCTTAAAAGTGATTGTTTGCAACAGGTATAATCTTATTAAATATTGTCAGATTCTCCTCTATAGGTTTTAAACCATTTTGCATTCCCACCAGCAATGTATGAAAATGTTTTGTGCAGCCTGATCAAGATAAAAAATTCTCTTAGCTTTTTAACTTTTGCCAGAGTGATGAGAAATAGTATCTTCATGTAATTGTGATTTGTGTTTCTCTTACCATGAGTGAAGTTGAACTTTTTTTTTTCATTTGTTTATACCTCTTTTGGTAAACAGATCTGTCTTTTGCCCATGTTTCCTAGAACTTCTGGCCTTTTTCCCTTTGTTTTTGAAAGTTCTTAAAAAATGGGGGAAGAGAAACCCTTTATGTGTAAAATAATGTGTTACTTTTATTCCATTTATTTTTTGATATCACTTGTGGTATTTTTGCTGTGCAAGTTTTAAAATTATTATATACTAAACTTTAATTGTCTCTGGATTTTAAGCCAGGGAAGTCCCTGGGTCTGGGGAGAATGACCAGTAGTGTCCATTTGGTGAAGACACTATGGCCAGACTAGGGCTGGATATTTTTCAGGCACTGAGACATTTAGACCCTGGAGACTAGTGTTAGAAGCAGTGGCTAAAGGGTCAGTCCCTTGGACTGCTTATAAAGGTGGGCGCTCCAGAACTTAGTCCCTGAATGAAGGACTAAAGGGCTGTGGCTGCAACCCCTGAGACTTGGGTTAGATCACTGGCACACGTGTGGGAGTAGCTTATAGGACGGGGCCTCAGGATACAGGGATTGATACTGAGAGATGCCTGTTTAGGAGGCCAAGTATGTGACACAGGACTCTTATTTGGCTGTTGAAGTACTCTGGAGGATGTGAGGATGAAGGCTATTATGTCACTTTCCCCGCACTCAAGACAAGAGTTCCAGAATGTATACAGTAACTCCCCACAAGGTTGAATAGTTTGGGCTCTTGAGGGATGAATAAGTGAGGTACAGATACAGGTGTGCAGCTTTTATAAAGTTTATTAAAATAAAAGGTCATAAAATATAGACTGCAACTTAAAAAGAAAACTTCCATAAACCAACTCTTATGAACACTGAAATAAAGCAATGTTATTTTTCTCCATTCCATTTCAGGAAAGTGGAACATTTCCTACTGATTTCTGCCATCTTCTTATTCACGAGGAATGGAAAATCTTAATACCCCTTAATGACATGAATTCGTGGGCAGATATGAATTGTGGGTGGCCAAAGGTGAGTGTTATAAACTGAATCCCTCCCCCCAAAGCCATAGGAGGAAGCCCTAACTCTAAAATGACAGTATTTGGATACAGAACTTATAGAGGTAATTAAGGTTAAATAGTGTCATAAGGGTAAAGCCATAATCCCACAGGGCTGGTGTCCTTACAAGAGTAAATCTTGAGTGCTTGCTTGCTGGCTGTCTCTTGCACAGGTACAGAAGAAAGGTCATGTGAGGAATTGCAGGGCCCCAGAATCTCATCCTTGTTCGTTACCTTCCTGTTGTTGAGTTCCCAGGCTAACAGGGACACACAGTACCCCAGCCAGCCAATCACCAGTGAGAAACAGACCATCCACCCTGCCTCCCTGCCCTGACACTCAACCCTATAATGCCAGAACCCTCGCCATTCTCAGAGCAACAAGTATGGTTCATGGCAATTGCTGCCCCTTCCCCATAGTGCGATCCATAGTAAACATTCCTCACTTGAGCCCTATTATTGGCTCTTTTAAAATGTGTGCGGGATTAATTGGTGGAAGCCAGGCAAAGACCCTTTTTGGAATCAGTAACAAGGACATTGTGAGAAGGAGCCAATTGTCTGTAAGCCAAGGAACGAGGGTTCAATAGAAGATTTTGCCAAGTCTTAGACTCCAGTCTTCAAAACTATGTGGAAATTAATTTCTATTGTTTAAATCATTTAGTTGCTGGTAACCCTAGCAAGCAAATACAACTTTGTATTTCACTATTATAATACCTAAAAATGTAAAAGCAGCTTTGAAACTATGTGATTGACAAAATCTTGAAGAGTTTTGGGGCACTTGTTTAAAAAAAGCCTTAAATAAATAAATAAATAAATAAATAAATAAATAAAGCCTAGCTTGCCTTGAAGAGGCAGCTCGATTGGTAGAAATACGGACATTAAGTGATTCTCATGTGGCCTCAGATGGGATGAGAAACTTGTTACCAGAAACTGGAGGAACGGCAATCTTTTTCAAAAAGTGGCAAAGAACTTCGCCAAACTGTGTGCTAATGTTTTACAGAAGATAGAACTTGTGATAGTGTTTAGCTGAGTAGATTTCTAGGCACAATGTTGAAGGTCGGAACAGTTTAGCATGCCAGTCTATGTTGCAAAATTGAGAACACACCGATAGTGTGGCTGGACAACTATTTGGTAAAAGAATGGTTTGTAAATCAACCATCTCAGCAGAAACTGCCAGGGTAAAATAAAGACAGGCTGTCGGATCTCTGGGATTCTTGTGTTATCCATCAAGAAAAGGAAAGAGTGACCCCAGATGAACCAGAGATCAGGTAGGTCTGCCATTTCCTCAGCAGGCCCAAAGTAGTAATAAAAATTCAGGAGACCTGTATGTGTCTTCCACCGCCACCACTCCATTAGGGCCAGAGTGCACAGCATCCAACCAGTAATTATTCTCAAGCCTTAAAATCTAAGAATGCCTTGCTGAGTTTTACACCTGCTTGGGAGTCATCAATTCTTTCTTCCTTCCACTTTTGGAATGGGAATGTGAATTCTGTGTTTGTCCTATCATTGTCTCTTAGAAGCAGATAAATGGTTCATTGTTTATGGCTGGAGAGTTTTGCTTTGCTTAAGGATGAATAGTACCTCTAGTCTTATCCACACTTGATTTAGATGGTATTTAGATATTTTGAATATACAGTCAATGCTGGAATAGATCAAGACTTTTCAGGATGTTAAGTAGGGGTGAGGTGGTGGTGGTGAATGTATTTTGTGTGTGAGAACATGAATTAGGGGAGTCCAGAGAGCTGAGTGTGATGGACTAAATTTATTCCCCCAAATTCCTATGTGGAAGCCAGAACCCACAACATGACCTTTATTTGGTGAAAGGATCTTTAAAGATAACTGTTGAGTCATAAAGTTAGGGCTCTAACCCAGTATGTCTGGTGTCCTTGTAGGAAGAAGGAGAGACACTAGAAAACACATACAAGCCAAAAAAAATGTCTATTCTTTCAGTCACCAAGTCATGGTATTTTGTTTTGGTAGCCCTAGCAAATTAAAAGTTATTGCTAATACAGAAAGTAAACTATGAATCAACTATCTTATAATCACTGAAAGAAAGCAATATTTTTTCCCCATTGCATTTGAAGGAAGTGGAACATTTCCTAGTGATTTCTGACATCTTCACACTCGGGGAAAAGGAAAGGTCAGGAGAACAGCTCTCGTGGCAGAAGCTGATGGCCAGATTTGGTCCTCCTATGTCTGTGGAGGTGAGACTTCTGGCTGAAGCCACGACCACACTCCCTACACACATATGGTTTCTCTCCTGAGTGGGTCCGCTGGTGTCTGATGAGGGCTGACTTAAACCCAAAGCCACGTCCACACTCACCACACACACATGGCCTCTCTCCTGAGTATGGCCTCTGTTCAGAGGTGAGGTGTGACTTCTTGCCAGCTCCTCGCTCACACGCTCCATATACATCAGCTTCCTCCTCCCCTGAGTGTGTCCTCTGGTGTCTAGTGAGGAGTGACTTGAAGCCAAAGGTACGTCCACACCGAGGACACAGGTAAGGTCTCTCCCCTGTGTGGGTTCTCTGGTGTCTGATGAAGGTGACCTTCTGACCAAAGCCACGCCCACACTCAGGACACACATAAGGTTTCTCCCCTGTGTGTGTCCTTTGGTGTCCCATGAGGGAGACCTTCTGGCTAAAGCCACGTCCACACTCAGGACACACATAAGGTTTTCCCCTGTGTGTGTCCTCTGGTGCCTGACCAGGGTAACCTTCTGGCGAAAGCCATGCCCACAGTCAGGACAGATATAAGACTTCTCCCCTGAGTGTGTGACCTGGTGACTGAGGAGTAGTGACTGCTGCCTGAAGCCACGCCCACACTCAAGGCACAAGAAGGGCCTCTCACCTGAATGTGAGCTCTGGTGTTGGAGGAGCGATGCCTTCTGGCAAAAGCCTCTCCCACAGTCAGGACACACAAAGGGCTTCTCTTTCATGTGTGTCCTCTTGTGCAAGATGAGGGCAATCTTCTGGCGAAAGCTTCGCCCACACTCCAGACACAGAAATGGTCTCTCCCCAGAGTGTATCCTCTTGTGGTTAGTGAGCGAGGATGTATACCTGAAGTGTCGCCCACACTCCGTACACATGTACGGCTTCTCCCCAGAGTGTTTCCTCTGGTGTATGTTGAGAGAGGACTTCCGGCCAAAGCCTCGTCCACACTCCTTACAAATGTAAGGCTTCTCCCCTGTGTGCGTCCTCTGGTGCTTGATGAGGTCTGACCTCTGGCAGAAGCCTCTGCCACATTCAGGGCATACATGATGCTTCTGGAGGCTACCAAGGCTTGATTTTGTGCTAAGTTCTAATCCATATTTTCCACATATGACTGCTTCTGACTCTGAGATGTGTACTCCTGACAATAATGTGTCTGACTCCTGAAGGCTCATCCTCTGGGCTGGATCGTGATCTGTTCCTCCATCTCTGTTGCCTTCCACCCAGTCTACTTGCTGACCTTGAGATGGGCTGAAGAATGCCCTTGAAGTCCAACGCAGCTGCAGCCTCCTGAACAAGGTATCAAGTCCTTCTCTCTTTCCACCTTCTTCTTTTTCACTTGAGCAGTTTGCAGCTTCTAGTAAGAAGCGACTTTCTGCAGATGAGCTTGGGAAGATCTGAGGGGAGTGACAGCACAGCATATATTGTCTGAGGAACCGTTGACTTGAAAAAGTCGCTGGGCAGGAGAGATGGGGCTGGAATTCTGTCCTTGGTTCTGCTGGAGAAAAATTCTGGGTCAGATTCACCAGAAGTACTTTGTGGGTGGTAACACTTATCCAGTAATAATTCTAGATATTCACACAACAAAGACTTTCTTTAGAAATCTACCTTCCATTGCATAGTACTACATGAAATATACTTTTACTGCAACAGAAAATCTCCATGATGAGCCAACTCTAAATACCAGCCCCCATCTCTCCCCCCTCCAAAAAAAATAGTTTTAAGAAAGTATCACAGGGAGAAGGGTTCAAGATGGTACAGGAAGATTCTGGGTTCACCTCCTCTCAAGTCCACATCAAATATACAGCTACATATGCAACAATTCCCTATGAAAAGGATCTGAGAACAAGCTGACAAAAGGACAAGGGACAAAAGGACCCATCAAAACAAGTAGGAAATGCAGGCCTCCCCGGTGGCGCAGCGGTTGAGTACTGGGTTGTGAAGCTGCCCACAGCCTCTGTAGCGCTGGTTCAATCCCCGGCTGCTCCCCGGCCACTGGAGGAGGGTCCCACATGGCGCACAGACCTCTCCTGCCGCCCGCTGCTCCCCTCAGCAGTGTACTTCGGTCCTTCTGCCTGTTCTGCTCCCCGCTCTGGCTCTGGTGAATTCTCTCACCCTCCCACGCTTCTGACTGTACCCAGTGCTTGTATAAATAAATAAAAATAAATCTTAAAAAAAAAAAAAATTAGTAGGAAAGGCAAAGACTTGGTTTCACCAAGAAAGCCTACCCCTGACATGGTGACCTACAATTAGGAGGAATCTCAAATATGAAGCTTCTCCCTGAGGAGTGAGAGGTTCATGCCCACATTAAATGCCCCTTAGGGCCTGTGGTGGAGAGAGAGGCCTCAAAAAACATCTAATTTCGGGGCTTCCACTAGGACACCCATGAGGCAGTGAGTAATAGATAGAGACTCCACTTTTAAAAGCACATTCTCACAGACTCGTTTATGCTGGCACCTAGTACAAAAGTAGCAATGTGAAGAGTGCCTAATCATTCATATAGGAGACACATGAGTTAAAGTGTCTGCCAGGGGACAGAGTCTGTTTTAATTTTCTCTGGGATGGAGAGACTTGCAGATGCTCTCTTTGAACTTTCACCCCACCTTAGCTGTAGCTGCCAGTACTATCATAAGACACTGGCTATCTTATGCCCCTCTGCCCTGTGCAAGTCTAGGCCCCACTGAAGCCAGAGGAGTTCTTGTGGAACACAGGTTGGGGACAATATATTTGCCTTCTCCCCTTGGTTTAGCTACAGCTCACCTTTACCTCCATAAAGAAGCTTATATACCTGCTTGGGAGTGCTGATTCTTAAAACTACAAGAGAATACCTCCATACTGCCTGGTCTGGAGGCCAGCAGGATTTATAACTATAGCCCTACAGGAGGTTCTGGCTTCCACTCAGGCTGACACCTAAGTGCTGAAAGAGACTCCTCCACTTGGAACACAAACAGGTCTTAGCACACACTCAACAATGGGGAGCTATCAAAAATAAAGCAGGCTGCATAGACAACCACAAAGGTACAAGAAACAGCCAACAGGTAGGGCAAAGCTGAATGATAAGGTTCAATACCTACAAAAGGTCCCACAAGTAGTAGTTGTTTTGCCTAACACATAGAAACAGAGTTTCAAGTAAAATGAGGAAACAGAGTATGTTCCACATGAAAGATCATGATAAACCTCAGAAAAAGACTTTAATGAACAGAGATAACTGATCACTTGATACGAATTTCAACTTAATATTCAAAAGGATGCCTATGACTATAGATCAGTGAAACAGAATAGAAAGCCCAGAAGTAAACCCACACATAATGTTTAATTTATGACAAAGGAAGCAAGAATTACTATACAATAGAAAAAGGACAGTCTCTTCAATAAATGGTATTGATAAAACTAGACAGCCACATGTTAAAGTATGAAACTGGACAACTACCTTATACCACACACCAAAAAAAAAAAAAACCTCACAATGGAATAAAGACTTAAATGTGAGACTTGAAACCATAAAACTTCTAGAAGAAAACATAACTGGTAAGCTCCCTGACATCAGTGTAAGCATTATTTATTTTTTTGATGACTCCAAAAGCAAGAGAAATAAAAGCAAAAAAATAAACAAATGGGACTACATCAAACTAAAAAACTTCTGCACAGAGTTTTTCTTTGCACAACAAAAAAAGACCACCTGCTAACCAGGAGAAGCTGTATCTAATAAAAGTATTGTGCGCGTGTGTGTGTGTGTGTCCTAAAATTTAACTGGAAATACAGAGGACTTACATTATACAAAACAAAACAATCTTGGGAAAAGAGGGGGAGGGAAAGGACTTAGACTGTCTAACTTTAAGCTTTCCTATGATTTTGCAGTAACAGATAGTGTGGCTTGATTTAAGAATATACATATTCATTGTTGGGTTTTCAACAATAAAAAAATCCAATGAGAGAAAGGCAAGTCTTTTCTAAAGTAAACAGTGCTAAAGCCACTGAGTATAAAAGAAAAATAAACATTGATCCCACTTCAAACCATAGAAAAAGGTTAATTCAAGATGGATGGTAGTGTAAAAACTAAAACAGATTATCTTTATACCTACAAAAATTAGAGAAAAATTTTCCTTCCTCAGAATTAAACATCTGTTCATCAAGTTATTGCTAAAAAAAATGAACACAATAGTTGTATATTATGAGAAACAATTTGTAAAATGTATATATAAAACTGGTATTTAGGATTAATAACTCATAGAATTCAGTAAAAAAACAACTCAGTAAAAAATAAGATACGAAGATGGCGCATACGATCAATTGCACATCAAAAGTGCTTAACATTACTAACCATCATAGAAATAGAAATCAAAACCCCCATTAGGTACCACAATGTCTCCATCACAACACACACCAGGAAAAATGTCAGAGGATATGAGTCAATAGGGACTCTCATATATTGTTCATGGAAGTGAAAAATAGTATAATGTCTTTGGAAAAGAACTTTCTTATAAAAACTACACATACAGGGTTGAACAGTATCCCACCAAAATTCATGTTTACCTGGAAGAGTAAATGTGGCTTTTTTAAATAGGGCCTCTGTGGATGTGACCAAGTTAAAATGAGGTCATAATGAATTAGGTTGAGCCTTAATCCAATAAACTGGTATCCTTACAAATAGAGGGAAATTTGGATATAGAGACAAAGTAGGAAGAAGGCTAGGTGACCATAGAGGCAGAGGCAAGAGTGACACAGCTACGAACCAAGGAATGCTAAATATTACCAGCAACCACCAGAAGCTAGAAGAGAGGCAAGGAACAATTTTCTCTCAGAATCAGCAGAAGGAACCAACCCTGCTGACAGGCTGATTCTGGACTTCTGGCCTCTGAACTGAGGGAGAATAAAATTGTTATTTCAATCCTCTCAGTTTTGGTAATTTGTTACAACAACCCTAAGTTATTTATCCAAAGGAAATGAAAATATATGTTTACCAAAAAAAAAAAAAAAAAAAGCAAAACAAGAAACCCAGCATGTTAATAGCTTTTCCAAAATAACTGTAACTGGAAGCCGTCAAGGTATCTATCAGGAAAAATGAGAAAATGGGTAAACAGTTGCACCATCATATGATGGAATGCTAGTGAGCATAAAACAAAAGACTACTGATGTAAATGAAGCCCCACACAAAGAGTACATAAATGTGACCCCATTCATGTAATACTGTGCAGCAGAAGGCAAAATTAATCTGCAGTGAAATAAAATCAGGCCAGTGGTACCTCTGAGGAATAGAAGCATTGTTTACTGAAATGGGTCACAAGGTAAATATTAGGGATGATAGTAATGTTCTTAAGTTCTGACTGTAGAGATGTATATGCATTATATGAAGTCACCTTTAAGTAAATTCCATGTAATAAAAATATTTTAAAACTCTAGATGACACCCATTACACCTTTGGCTAACCATTATTTATGGAGCCTGCCCAACTGAGAGGAACTGCCAGTTGTGTTTCAGTCATAAGAGCTCAGGTGAGGCCCACTAACTGGTTCATCTCCTTCCTCCATCCCACTCTGGTGTTTGCGCCATTTCAGTTCAATATGATTTTCAACTTTATGATGGTGCAAACGCATTTATACATAGTCAGTAGGAGCTGTAGTTTAAATTTTGGTCTTTCCCAAGACTAGTGACAAACAGTACAGTACTCTCTCATGATGCTGGGCAGTGACAGCCACAGCACCCAGTCAGCCATGTTGATTATGAGAGTAACAAGAAAATCACAGGTTCAACTATCATGTTCAGCAGGTTATGTGTATTAAATACAGTAAATACTTACAGTATTTTCAACTTATGATGTGTTTATCAGGTTATAACACTATCGTAAGTTGAGGAAGATTAGTTAGAGCCTAAAATTGTAAACACCCCAATGTTCTTGAATATGTAAATGAGTTCACAAACTGTGGTACAATCACACATAGAATACTACACATAGAATACTACAATAAAAGGAATGAGGTGTCAATACCTGCAACATTTTGGAAGGATCTCAAAGGGAATTAGATTGAATTATAAAAGGCAATCCCAAAAGGTAACAATCTTTTTATATAACATTCTCAAAATAACAAAATTAGAGAGATGGAGAAAAGATGAGTGTTTGCAGAAGGAAGAGGAAAGGAGGGGAGGAGTTGGCTGTGGCTTATAAAGGGCAGTATAAGGGATCCCTGTTATAGAACTCTTCTGTAACTTTGAATGATGGTAGTTACATGAGTCTACATCAGTAAAATTTCATGAACATAATAAACATATACACAAAAGAATGAAAATAAAACTGGTGAAATCTGTGTAAGGTCAGTACTCGGTAGTAAGAGAAAAAATAGCTTAACATTACCAACAACAAAATAAACAATTCATATTAAAAGACTAAAAAAGAAAAACATATAACCATCTTAAAAGAAGCTAAAAGCCATTTGACAGACTCCAACATCCATTTCCAATAAAAACTCATCAAACAAGGAACAGAAGTTTGTCAAGCTGATAAAGAACAGCTATTAAAAAAAAAAAAAAAAACTTACACTTAGGAGGAAAGCATTCCCCATAAGATCAGGAAGGATGTCCATTCTCACCATTTAAATTCATCATTGCACTGGATGTTCTTGCCTGTGCAATGAGGCAAGAAAAATAAATTAAAGACATACTGAAGGGAAAGGAGTAACTATACTTATTCACAAATACATGATCAACTAAGTAGTATATCTTATAGAATTTATAAAAAACATACTAAAACTAAGAAGTTTTGCAAGATTACCAGATGTAAGATCACTACATATAAATTAGTTGTATTTTTTTTAAAGATTTATTTATTTATGCATACAAGAGCTGGGGTGTAGGCCAGAGGTGGGGGGGGGTGGTGATGAGAGGATTCACCAGACACAGAGTGGGGAACAGGCAGATTGACTGAAGTACACTGCTGAGGGGAGCAGCAGGCAAGACAGGAGAGGTCTGCTGTGCCATGTGGGTCAGCTTCCTGGCTGGGGATCGAACTCATGCTGCAGTGGCTGTAGATAGCTTCATAGTGCTGAGACTTAACCCCTTGTGCCACCAAGGAGGACCAAATGAGTTGTATTTCTATGTACTATCAACAAAAATGAAAACTGAAATTTAGAAACTGGTGAAATAGTATCAAAAAATTAAGTACAGAGGTACAAATTTCATAAGAGGTGATCCCAAAAGTTAACAATCTTTTGTTGTTGCCTTTAATGACCTTATATGTTAACACAAGAGGTACACAATATTTGTATACTATAAACTACAAAACTGCTGACAAAAATTAAAGAAGTCTCATATAGAGAAAAAGATACTGAGTTTATACATTAGGTGACAATAATGTTCACATGTAAGTTCTTTTCAAATTGATACAGAATCTACTTAATATCAATCAGAACATGTGTGTGTATGTGTGTGAGAGAGAGAACTGCCAAGCTGATTCTAAACTCCATATGAAAGTGCAAGGAATCTAAAATATTGAAGGACTTATACTGAGTTCCAGACTTACTGTAAAGCTATAGCCATCAAGACTATGATATTAACAGTGAGAGACAAAGATAGGATTGGAAAAAAATAGAATTCACATATAGACCCATACACACACGGTCAGGTAATCTGATTTACCACAAAGCTGCATAAGTAATTCAGCAAAGAAAGAGTTATCTTCTCAACAAATATTGTTGAACTGCTGATGGAAATGTAAACTGGTATAGCCACTATAGAACAAATGATTCAGAAATTCCACTTCTAGCTATTTATGTAAGTCACACATAGACAAATAACGTATAATCGCAGTCATATAAAGTGCATTCTACATAAAAAACCAAGCTCATAAATAAATAGAACAGATTGACCAGCAGTGGGAGGTAAGTGAAATAGACAAAGTGGGTCAAAATGTACAAACTTCTAATTATGAAATCACTAAGTCATGGGGATGTAATATATGGTGTGGTAGCAACTGCATATTTGGAAGCTGCTAAATAAGTCACTCTTAAAAGTTCTCATCACAAGGAAAAAAAAACTTATAACTGTGGTGATGGCTGTTAACTAGATTCATCATGTTAGTTATTTCTCAATATATAAACAAATATAGAACCATTATGTTGCACAAGTAAAACTAAGATATGTCAATTATAACTCAAAATTAATACATAAATGGTGCTAGAAAAAAGTGAGTATTTGTGTGTATTTAGATCCAGACCTGGCACCAAAGACAGTTTACTCAAAATAAATTATAGACCTAAATGTAAACTCAAAATTATAAAACTTCTAAGGAAAAGATATATGGAAATCTTTACTACCTTAGTTTAAGGCAAAGATTTCTTAAATACCCCACCAAAAGTGCAATTCATGAGAAAATAAAATTAGGACTTAATCAAAAGTATGAATTTCTCTTCGAAAGGCACTATTAAGAGACTGAAAAGCAATCCTCAGAGAAATTATTTATAAAGCAAATGACTGATCATGGACTTCTACATAGAATATATGAACTTTCAAAATTTATTAGTAAAAAACAGGACAAATTTTTTTAATGGGCAGTAGATTTCAAAATACACTTCAAAGAAGAAATACAGATGGCAACTAAGCAAAGGAAATGTCAAATAAAGCCATAATAAGATGCCACTAAACAGCTATGATAATTTTTTATTTTAATTTTTGACAGTTTACAAAGACCTAGAGCTTCGGGAACTCTCAGATACTGCTGGTCAGAATATGAAATGGTGTAGCCATATTGGAAAACAGTTTTTGAATTGCATAAAAAGTCAAATACACACTTTATCTTACAACTCAGTGATTGCAGTTCCAGGTATTTAACCAAAAGAAATGAAAGCAAACTACACAAAGACTTGTAAATGTTTATAACACAGGGTTTATTTGTAGTCATCAAAAACTGGAGATTACACAAATGTCCTTTAATTGGTGAATGGCTAAATCAATTGTGATATATCTGTATCTGTACCTATTTAAAAACTTGCCAAATTCTATACTTATTACACTTCAATATATCTTGTAATTATTCCTTATGTATTATGCCATAACACTTTATACCAATAACATTTTATATTATCTTTCATACCTTATATATAATAGATCTTTAAAAAACAAAACAAAACAGGGAGTGATGCCTCTAAGATGGTGACATAGGCTGTTCCTGACTTTACTACCCCCTCAAAAGTAGAAAAACTGGTAATTCATGATACTACGGGAGTGAAGCTGAAGACCCTCCACCACACAGACCACGACAGACAGACTGCATTAAAAAGGTGAAAGGAATGGCAGCACTCTAACCATGCTAAGCACACTGTGTATCTACCAAGGCCAGTGCTGTACCATGCCAAGTCCCAGGTCCCATCTGAGCCTAGAGTTTTTCTAGTGGGAAGAGAAAGTCCAGGGTAACATTCACCCTTTCCAGCACTGCACAGCAGTATGTGGGAGGCTCTATTCTGATCTTTTATCATAGGGATTGCAGAAGAACCTGCAAGACTCAACCACTAGAAATCTGATTATGATGGGGTGGAGAGGGGATGCACTTGAAACAACCAGCTCAAATCTTAGTAGACCAGGTTCCTGCCTGCAAATCCCAAGCAGTAATTCCAACCAGTGGATTTGCTCCTCTGCAAAACCAAGTCAGTGGTGTACTCTGACCTGGGATCTCAGCAGGACACAGGACCTACTTTGAGTAGTTTTGCTGGCCCTTGGGCCTGGTTTGCCCTCAACCAGGCACAACAGCTGAGTTATAGTTCCCCCTTCTGTGAAGAGTGGCTTCCAGGCCCTCCCAACCAAAGAACCAAAAGCCAGTAGGAAGGAAGGAAGGAAGGAAGGAAATAATAAAAATTAAGGGCAAAAATAAATGCAATAGTAATTTAAAAAAAGATAATCCAAAAGATTAATGAAACCAAAAGCTAGGTCTATGAAAAAATAAAATAGACAAACCTCTACCTAGGCTCACAAAAAAGGGGAGAAAACTCAAATAGGATCCAAAATGAAACATTACTATGAACATTTATCTTCTAATAACTTAGTTGAATAACCTAGAAGACATGGACAAATATACCAACATCTAAGACTGAATAAGGAAAATATAGCAAACCCAAACAAACCAATTACAAGCAAGGAAACTGAAGCAGTAATTAAAAACTCTCCCAAAAAACGAAAGTCCTGGACCAGATATTTTCACAAGTAAATTATACCAAGCTATCCTTCTCAAACTCTCCCACAAACACATTTATGAGGCCACAAACACATTTATGAGGCCATTACCCTAATACCAAAACCAGACAAAGACAACATGTAAAGAGAAAATTAGACCAATTTCCCTAAAGAACATAGATGGAAAAACCCTCAACAAAACCTTAGCAAACTGAATTTAACAATGCATTAAAAGGATTCTACACCATGACCAAGTTGGACTTAGTCCAAGAACACAAGAATGGTTCAACATCTGAAAATCAACATAATTCACTGCATCAATAAAACCATATTAGCATATCAAGAGATGTCAAGAAAACATTGGTAAGATTCAACACCCATTTATGATGAAAACGCTCAAAAAACAGCATAAATGGAACATACCTCAACATAATGTTATATGTGACAAACTCATAGCCAAGATCATTCTCAATCATGAAAAACTGAAAGCTTTTCCACTAAAATCTGGTACCAGACAAGGATGTCCACTTTCACCACTACTATTCAACATAGGATAAAAAATTCTAGCTAGAGCAATTAGGCAAGGGAAGGCTATAAGTGGAATTCGAATTGGGAAAAAAAGTAGTAAGTCCTTAGTTACCAAGCAACTCACTTTAGCCTTAAGACTCATGCTAATGGTGAAGGGATGAAAAAGATTATTTTAAGGCCATTTATTCTGCTTTAGTTTTCTGTCTAGATGATCTAGCCAATGATTTAAGTGGGAGTGTTAAAATCCCTTACTATTATTGTGTTGTTGTCATTTACTTTTCGGTCTGTTAATATTTTGTCAATCTGCTGTTCCTTTTGTCTTAGCTTGCCATCTTTATATGTGTTGTGATATCTTGTGATATCAATATGCTTTGCCTTCTTTATCATGTCCTTTTCTGAAATATTATAGGATGTTCCCTTGTGGCTATCCTAAGACTTATATAAAATAACTCAAAATTAAACACTTTAAAACTAGTAACAACTTAAATATAATTCCAAGATTTACACTTTTATTTCTCTTCCCACTCACATTTGAGGTTATTGATATTATAATTTATACATTTTTATATTGTTCCTAAAATATATCTATGGTTATTTTTATTACTTAAACTTCTAAGTTATACATTAATTACACTCTACCACTAGCATACAGAAACTATGACTATATATATCATTACCAGTGAGTTTTACTCTGCTATTTTATGATTTAGTTAGCATTCTTATTTCCCATTCAGTGATTCCCTTTAGTATTTCCTGTAAGGTATATCTAATGGTGAATTTCCTAGTATGCATCCTGAAAGAAAGTCTTTCCATGTGTTTCCAAGGAAGTAACACATGGATATAACAAATTTAATAGTTATCTACCTGAAATAAATGTCCAAAAGAAGGGAATAACTCAACTGCATTTAAAAAATACTTAATTGTAGGGCCTCCCCGGTGGCGCAGCGATTGAGCGCTGGGTTGCGAGGCTGCCCGCGGCCTCTGTGGCGCCGGTTCGATCCCCGGCTGCTCCCCGGCCACCGGAGGAGGGTCCCACATGGCGCGCAGACCCCTCCTGCCGCCCGCTGCTCCCCTCAGCAGTGTACTTCGGTCCTTCTGCCTGCTCTGCTCCCTGCTCTGGCTCTGGTGAATTCTCTCACCCTCCCGCGCTTCTGACTGTACCCAGTGCATGTATAAACAGAACAAACAAACAAACCAGCTAACAAATGAATAAAGTATGCCTCTATTAAAAAAAAATAAATAAAAAAAAAAATACTTAATTGTATAAGCTTTTAAAAGGTATAAACTAGGGCCTCCCCGGTGGCGCAGCGGTTGAGCGCTGGGTTGCGAAGCTGCCCACAGCCTCTGCGGCGCCGGTTCGATCCCCGGCTGCTCCCCGGCCACCGGAGGAGGGTCCCACATGGCGCGCAGACCTCTCCTGCCGCCCGCTGCTCCCCTCAGCAGTGTACTTCGGTCCTTCTGCCTGCTCTGCTCTCTGCTCTGGCTCTGGTGAATTCTCTCACCCTCCCGCGCTTCTGACTGTACCCAGTGCATGTATAAACAAAAAAAAAAAAAAAAAAACAAAGAAAGAAAACATGCCTCTATAAAAAAAAAAAAAAAAAAAAAAAAAAAAGGTATAAACTAAGCCTACACATTTTAGTTTTCTTTTCCTATAAACAATCCTTTAGTGAAGAATGTAAACCCAAATCCAGGGAAATCTTAATTTGGGAGACCTTTTAAGTTATTTTTTTCTTTGCTTCCTGCTTTAAATTCTTCTACCTGATTAATTCTATTTAAAGCACTTTCTAAATTTGTCTGTATTTCATTCAGAATCTCTTTGTATGATTTTTAAAATGTATTCAATCTCTTTGGTGAAGAACTCTTTGTTCTTGGATCCCCTTCTGAGATCTTGCATCTACCTACCTGCCTTTGACTGACCTTGCAGTATCTCATTTAACATTTTTAATATTGTTGTTTTAAAGTTGTTGTCAGATAGTTTGTCTATTTCTGTCTCCTTTACATTTGTCCCAGGACTTCTGTCTTCTTTTTTCTATTCCATTTTGTGTTGAGTTATCCCTTGATCCTAGGAATGTGTGTTGCCTTGTTTATAGCTATTTATGCATGTGTATGTGGTTGGGGCACTGGAGATTTAGCATTGTTTTTACCTTGGTGTACCTTGGTGTGAGGTAGAGGGAGGAGGGGGTTCTGGGTCTTTAATACTCAATCTCAGTTTCAGAAATGGCATGTTAGGTACCTCTAACCTACTTTGGTTCCACAACAAGCTGGATTCCACACTTAGATTATCTTCACTTCCCACCCTGCCTTCCTGATTTTCCTTTCTGCCTGAATCTCCCAGTGGGGAGACCAAGGGAGTCACTCTCTGGGATTAATTTGCACTTGACCCAAAGGTGGCACTCGTGTGCTAACTTAATACTACGGTAGCCTGCCCTGCTCTTGCCTCAGCTGCCACTTCTGAAGGCTGGGATATACCTGCCCTTTGTTTATTTTCCTAAAGTATTTGTGAGTTAACTCTGAAGTCCTCCTTTCTGCTGTTAGGCCAGGCTCAGCCTGGCTTTTCTTTGATCTCTTCTGGGAGGGGTGGAGGAGGGGGCTTTTGGAGCCCAAGCCATCCCAATAGGGAAGTTCTCAATTTTCTGGGTCTCAGAATTCTTACTGCCCAGGGTTAGGTCGGGCCACAGCCAGGGAAGCTACAGGGATTGTCAAATGGTTTCAAAACTTTCTTTTCTAAACTATAGGGAAGGCACATTGGCACTCGTTGTATAATTCTTTGTTGTAACCTTAAATAATCCATCATAAAAAAAAAGAAACAAAGTTATAGACATTTACGGGGTAAAACGGAGCATACAGGTTACTAGATTGAGAGCAGAAATTGGACAATATCTACCAGAGACAGCTGCCTTAGTCTCAGAAAGAAGTGTATGCTGAAGATCAGGTCTACCAATAAAAGCCCAGGAATAGAAAGAATCCTAAAAGTGCTCAAAAAAGGAAAGCCATGTGAACAGAGTGAGATCTCCTCAGAGAAGAGGTAGGTGGAATGCCAGGGAAGCTCTCCCTGGGGTGCACATAACAGTTTGACAGGGAGGCGACATTCTGCAGCCTGTAACAGCAGCCTGAGAGGCTCAGAGAAGCCTCTTTAGGAGCTCATAGTAGCTCTACCTTTTCAATTGCCAAATGCCTCTCTGCCCACTCTCCATGACTATCTGTTCCTTCCCACTCACCAGGACAAAGGTCCAGAAGACATTCAGTCTCCTCTCTCCAGGGCTCGTCCCCTTGCTCCAGTTGTGTAATGAGCTTTGGCTTGGAAAATGCAATTCCTATTCACAAAGAAAGAAATCAAGGTGACAGTGGGTTAGGTGGCTTAAGAGACTTATCTAACAGTCAGCCAGGTAATGCAAAAACCTATGTAACAGTAAGGAAGCACAATGTGGGGCAAAAGCACTCTGAATACTGACAAAGGATGCCTGAGGTAGGGAATGCTGGCTGTAAAGGCAGTACACAATCCCACCATGTGTTTGCGTGAATACAAATACTCCCCCATTTGAAGAAAGATATCTTCAGAGGAGGGGCCTGGCCTGGGAAGGGATTTAGACTGCAGTATCTGATACCACACACACAACTTCACTATTTTTAACTGCACAGAATCTAGACATTCTCTGGAGGTATAGGAAAAATATTGTTTCCTTTCTGAGTCAAAAGTATGGTGGCTGCTACACAAAACCTTTAGGTGCCCCCTGGCTGAATCTGAAATCTGAGACAGGCCATTCTTACCCACTGACACCAAGTGGCTGTAGTTCTCCAGCATTACATCCCGATATAGAGTCCTCTGGGCAGGACTCAGCAGCTTCCATTCCTTCTGGGTAAAGGCCACAGCAACGTCCTTGAAGGCCGTTAATGCCTGTAACAAAAACACATTGCTGCTCACCTGGAGCCAGGCACACCCACTAATCAACTTAACTTTGTCACCAACCAGGGCCAAGACAGCAAGAAAGATGGCATGGCACACCCAGTGAGATTTATGAATCTTGCTTTTAACTTGAACCCTTGTGTTCAAGACTATTAATCCCCTTCACATATTGCTGGTTAGTCAATTTAGGGGTCCTCTAGTCTGTTCTATTGATCTATAACGGTGTAAAAAAATCTTGATTACTGTAGGCATATATACATATATATACACGTGTGTGTATAATATACATATATACGTATATATATACACACGTATATATACGTATATACACACACACACACACACAATGTTAACTGATTCCTCACACTTTATATTTCATTTTAAAGGTGAATTCAGTTTTTCTAGGGCATGTATTGGCCCATACAAAGTTTAGAATAATCTTATCCAAATCTACAAAAAAACCCTTGCTTTAAATTTTTACCTGATTTGCATTAAGCCTATCTATCAAATACACACGCAAATTCTTGTTTAGTTATGGGGATGGATGTTAACTAGACTTATTGTAGTCTTTTTTTTTTTTTTTCATTTTGCAATATATACAAACACTGAATCTCTGCTGCACACCTTAAACTAGTGTTTTATATCACTTATACCTCAACAACAAAAACCCTGGGATTTAAAAAAAAGCAAACCTATTTAGAGAGAACTGACATATTAACTATAACTATGTTGGGCCTGCTCTGCTCCCCACTCTGGCTCTAGTGAATTCTCTCACCCTCCCGCGCTTTTGACTGCACCCAGTGCTTGTATAAATAAATAAATAAATCTTTAAAAAAAAAAAAAAAAACTGTAACTATGTTGGCTGTTCAAATCTATAAACACAATGTCTTTCCATTTATTGAGATGTTCTTTGATTCCTCTCATCAGCATTTGTGGTTTTCTGCATATAAAATCTATATATGTATTATAAGATGGACATCTAAGAATTTCTTTTTTTTTTAGTGGTTAATGTTAATTGTATTTTTCAATTTCGGTGATCAAATGCTCATCACTATGACACAGAAACTTTAAGTGAAATAACTCAATTCTTTCCCTCCTGTGTTTCTTTCCTATATCTCCTTTACTTACTCACATAGAACACTCACACTTCTGACACTCTCATCACCAAATGTATGGAGGTTTTTCACCACACCAAGCAATTCTCTAATACCAACAGGGATACCTACAATTTAACTTAATTCAGATGCCACAGGTTAAGAGCACAGTCCCACAAGACTCTCCTCCTCTCCCCTTACACACACACGCGCATTTCAGACACCACCTGCAAGCCCTGGTTATCAGTAGCACTTCAGATCAACTGGCTACAGATCACAAGTTTCAATGACCCCGCTCCTGGGGTTCAATTATTTTGCTGGAGAGGCTCACAGGACTCAGTGAAATAATTAACTTACATTTACCAGTTTATCAAGGGATATAAAAGATATAAATTAACAGTCAAAGAGATCACATAAGGCTAAGGCTGGGACAGTCCCAAGCCCAGAAGTTTCTGACCCATGGAGCTGGGATGTGTCACCCTCCCAGGGTGACTCTGTTTGCTTCCCAGGGTGGAGTTATCTATTGTGGTAGAGATTCTGCAATAAGGCAAGAGAAGAAATACAATGCATTCAGACTGTAAAAGAAAGAAAACTGTTCCTATATGCAGATGTCACAGTTATCTGTGTAGAAAATCTCTAGGAACCCAGGACAAAAAAATGAGAGCTAATAAGTGAGTTCAGCCAGGTTGTAGGATTGAAGATAAATGTATAAACAACTGTATTTCTGTGAGAGGACAGATGATGTTCTCTGTCCCAGCTATATACACAGGGCTCCTGAAAGCCTTTTAAGTTCCTAGGTGATAGGTGTTCTCATGAGGACTTCTGTGGAGAGCCACAGAGGCAGGGTTGTCCCTCCACAACAAAGGCATGCTGCCAATCCAGTGGGCCTGGAGCATACAGTTATCAAACCAGAGATAAATATTCTCCAGCCTTAATATCTAATAGAGTTTACCTAGCGAGGTTTTGGACTCATTGGGAGCCATCACCCTACCTTCTTTCTGCTTTCTGCCTTTTGAAATGGGAATATCTAGCCTATGCCTGTGCCACCATTTTTATTGTATCAATTATGTAAATTGTCTGGTTAGAAAGGGATCACAACTGATGTGGAATTTTGCCTTAGGATGAATGGTATCTCAATTTATAGCTCACCGATACACTATATCTTTAGATGAGATTTTGGACTTCAAGGTCTGGTGCTTCAAAGTTAAGACTTTTGAGACTGTGAGGATAAAATAATGTATTTTCATGTGAGAAGGCCAAGGATTTTGGGGACCAGGGGTTGAAATGCTATGGACTGAATTGTGTTCTCCAAAATTCATATGTATCATTTTCATGTTGTGATTAATAAAAATATTTCTTTAAAAAAGTGCCTACCTGGCATCTGTTGAGGTGGTCAATAAATACTAAATTCAATTTAATGTATCAATTTACTTGCTGCCTCATCTTAAGAAATAGAAAATCTTTCTTTTAGGACAAATATTCAATTACTATTTACTTCCAAACCCTTGATTTCAACATAACAAACTCCTTAAAATCCTTTAAGACCCAGCTTGCTCCAAGGTCAAGTCCACACTCCTCAGTGTGGCTTTCAGGATACTCAGGAATTGTCTCCATCCAGGCTCAGAAGGGAAAAAGGCAAAGCCTCCAAGGGTTGAGCAAGTAAGAAGTAACTGAAGCAGGTGCTTTGACCTTGGGTTCAAGGGAAGATAGTGGGGTGACTACACTGTGAACATGTTGTGTGATAGCAGCATAGTGATCTATTCTCAAGGAAATTGGCAATCTAAATATTTAGGTGTAATCTTCCAATATTTAAGTGTGGAGACTCATTTAAAGTGTGGGACGGCCAAGCCAAATCTATCCATGTATCCTAACTGGACAGCAAGTTAGCATCCTGACCTCCAGACATAGAAAACTGACCATAGGACACTGGCTATTTCATGCCTCACATTGTGAGGATAACCTGTTGCTCCCCAGGTCTCTGAGACACACTAGGCTTCCTGCCGCATTCCCACAGGTATGTCTTCCCTCAGCCAAGTCCTTCAGAGTCAGCTCAGGAGGACATCCCTTGAAAGCCTGTCTTTGCTTGTGCAGGTCTTGGGAACCACTGAGTACATAAGCAAGAACATCCTGTATTTTATTTCACTGCTTAGTTATTTAAATGAGTTCTAAGCCACAGATGGCACAGAGGAGTCCAGCAGAGGCACCATGTATGATGGAACATACCTCCTAGACCAGAGCTAGATCAAGGCTGCTCACAAACGAGAAAAGACAGTGGGTATATCCTGCAAGAGCTAGGAAATTTCTGGGCTTACCTCATCCCTGGTTGTCAGGAACCCAGGAGCCATATTCCTGATCTTTGGCATGCTCTTTTCTAGAGAACAGTCAAGTTGCAGAGGCAGATCTAGAAAAAGAGAAGTGAGAGGGGTACTTAGAAGGACCCTTCCATCCAGCCTCCCACTTCAGCAGGGTGAGGGGAAGCAAGGAAGGTAGATTGCAAGAGAGCATCAAAGCAGCCTCTGCTTACCCAGTATCCTGTAAGAAAGACCCATAGATCTGGGCTAGCAGTGGCTCAGTCCCAATCTCTGGTTGGGAAATGAAGCCCCCAACACTCAGCGGTTGGATAAGACTGTCACTGTGTGTACTCTATTAAGACAGATAAGGCCTCAGAGAGCCACAGATGAACACTAACATAGAAAAATAATCTTTCACAGTGAAAGCAGAAGTAGCCCATCCACATCTGCTCTGAGGCCAAGGACAAACCCAAAATTCAGAGCAGAAGTGCTACAGGACTATGCAGAGTATCAATAGAGGGAAAGCTCGAAGCAGGATGGAAGTTATAATCTGGCTGCACCCTTCCCTCCATTTCCATAGCCAAGATTAGGGGACCAAGATTTGAAATGACTTGGCCCGCGTCTTCAACAAGTCAGTTTCATGAAGAAATTTTTAATTGGGGAGATTTCTTTAATGAAAAGATATTTAAGAGGTAAATCATCTTAAGATATCATTGATATGCCTAGTGCACAAATGATGTATAAAAAACATTTGGGGGACTACAAAAAGTTGAACTAGGATTTGGACAATGTTAGGGATTTATTGTGAATATCATTAGCTGTGATTACACTATTCTGGATCTAGATGAAAACAACAGTCATTAAAAATTGATGAAGTATTGAAGAATAAACTGACATACCTGCAGTTTTTTAAAAATGCAAAGCCGGGGCCTCCCTGGTGGCACAAGAGTTAAGACACAGCACTATGAAGCTATCTGTAGTCACTGCAGCACCAGTTTGATCCCCAGCCAGGGAGCTAACCCACATGGCACAGCAGACCTCTCCTGTCTCACCTGCTGCTCCCCTCAGCAGAGTATTTCAGTGGATCCACCTGTTCTGCTCTCCACTCTGTCTCTGGTGAATCCTCTCACCCCCTGCACCTCTGGCCTGCACTCCAGTTCTATGCAAAAATAAAATCTTTTTTTAAAAAAAATAAGATAAACTATACAAAGAATTAAAAAGTCAGGGCCTCCCTGTGGCGCAGGGGTTAAGTAGCAGCACTATGAAGCTGTCCGTAGCTGCTGTAGCACAAGTTTGATCCCTGGCCAGGGAGCTACCCACATGGCGCAGGAGACTTCTCCTGTCTCAACTGCTGCTCCCCTCAGCAGTGTATTTCAATCTGCCTGCTCTGTTCCCCACTCTGTCTCTGGTAAATTCTCCCCCACCCCCACTTCTTGCCTGTACTCCAGTTCTTTTATGCATAAATAAATAATCTTTTTTTAAAAAGAATTAAAAAGCCACACTATTTGCAAATATTAAAATTGCTAGGATCCTTGAGGGTAAGTGGTGGCCACTAGTGCCAGGTTGGGACCCATGAGCTGAACAGAGTCTCTGACGGAGCTAGCCCAATCTTCTATCTGGATTTCTGCTTACCTGCATGAGTCTGAGGGCAGAACCATGACGAAAACTGGGAGGAGGTGAGAGGAGGAAGCCCTAGCACCCAGGAAGCCTCTCCCTGTCCCGGAAGTCTGCCAGCCTTGGCCCCAAATGACCCATCTGTGCCTAAACAGCACTCTCTTGGAGATGCTATATGCTAAGCAGCTATTTCTCCTGAGAAATTCTCTGTGTTCCAGCAGGGACTAGAACAAAGGCCCAGGAAATCAGGGAATCGGTGACAGCAACAGCAGAAGAACCCAATGAATTGCAGTTTTGTTGTTCTTGCCTCTCACTGTACCCCTTGCTACCTTTCACCACTTCCAGCAAGAATGCTTCACTCTGTGTGGCAGAGAATGTGATCCTTCTATTAGGGAACTTGGCTTATTTCAGACAATTTCTTTTTAGGCTATTTCTCTGGCAGAGTGGAACATATCTGCCATATGGGAGCCTTGGAAACTCTTCTTCCCTTATATTTCCTCTGAGGTATTTTAAACGTTTTTCACCTGACCCACACCTCAATACTTCACCGGGCTTTGCTTCCCGTATCAAAGGCAAGCTCTGTTTTCTGTCTTGACCAAATGTACTTTCCCCCTTAACCCTAGCTGGTACTTGTGGCTGGTCATGCCAACCTTTTTTGGTTTGGTTTTAATCCGATAAGGAGTGGGAGACAAAGAAAATGCTATTTCTTTGTACTTCATATAGCCTGGCCTAAGAGATTTTTCAGGAACCTTATGTGTGGTATTTTATAGGGCCCCTAGGGCAATGTACTTATTTTACTCATTTAATTCAGTGCTTACTGTATGCATAAAACTAGACTATAAACTCCATGAAATCATAAATACATAATAAAATAAAATTGCTAACCCCCAGGTCTGAAACTATAAAACTTCCTAGAAGAAAACAACAGGAGAAAGCTTCATGACATTGGAATAGGTAATGATTTCTTGGATATAACACAAAAAGTACAATATAACAGGCAAAAACAGAGGCACAAAATAAAGAGCCCATTAAACTTAAAGACTTCTGCACAGGCCTCCCTGGTGGCCTAGGGGTTAAGACTCAGCGCTATCACCACTAAGGCCTGGGTTTGATCCCCAGCCAGGGAGCTAACCCACTTATGGAGCACCAGACCTCTCCTGTCTCTCCTGCTGCTCCCCTTAGCAGTGTATTTCAGTAAATGCCTGTTCTGTTCCCCACTCCTTCTCTGGTGAATCCTCTCCTCCCCCTCCCCCACTTCTGACCTACAGCCCAATTCTTCTACACATAAATAAATAAACCTTAAAAAAAAAAATACTTCTGCACAGCAAAGGAAACAATCAACTAAGTGAAAATGCAACTTACAGAAGGGAAGAAAATATATGGAAATCACAAGTTAGATATGGCATTAATATCCAGTCTAATATATAGAACTAATATATAGATCTAATATATAGTTCTAATATATAGAACTCCTACAGTTCATTAAAAAAAACCTATTAATCCGGGACCTCCCTGGTGGTGCAAGGGGTTAAGCACCACACTATGAAGCAATCCGCAGCCTCTGCAGCACAAGTTCGATCCCGGCTGGCCAGAGAGCAACCCACATGGAGAAGCAGATCTCTCCTGTCTTGCCCGCTGCTCCCCTCAGCCTTGTATTTCAGTCCTTCTGCCTGTTCTGCTCCTCACTCTGTCTCTGGTGAATCCTCTCACCCCTCGCATCTCTGGCCTATACCCCAGTTCTTGTATGCATAAATAAATAAATCTTAAAAAAAAAATAAGCCTATTAATCTGATATTAAAAGGATCTGAGTAGAAATTTCTCCAAAGAGATACAGTGGACAACAGCATGTGAAAAGATACTAAACTTCAAATATCATCAGGGAAATATAAATAAAAATCACAGTGTGATAGTACCTCATAGTATTAGAATGGCCATTATTTAAAAAAAAAAAAAGACAAAATAACAAGTTTTGATAAGGATGTAAAGAAATTGGACTTCTAGTGCATTATTGGTGGAACTGTAAAATGATGCAGTTGCTATGGAGAACAGTATGAAAGTTCCTCAAAATACTAATAACAGAACTACCAGATGATTCAACTATTCCAATTCTGGGTATTTATTCAAAGGAACTGAAAACAGGATCTCAATTATTTGTACAGTCATGTTTGTCAAGACTCTGAAACAATAGAAATTTCCATCGACAATGGATATATGCATACCACTTTTTCTTTATATATATGCCACATATAATATTACTGTGCCTTTAAAAAGGAAATCCTGACACAAATTATAACATAGATAAAACTTGAGGATACTATGCTAAGTGAAAGAAGCCAGTCACAAAGACAAATACCGCATGATTCACTTATTAAGGTATCTAAAGTAACAGAAACATAAAATAGAATGGTGGTGACCAGGGGCTGGAGGGAAGGGGTAAGGTCATACTGTTAATACTGTATTGTACGCTTAAAAATTGTTGAGGATAAATGTACGTTGTTTCTTACAAAAAAATGAAAATCAAGGCTGTTGATCAAGCCTCAAAATTTGTGAAACCCCTAGGAAATGTGATTTTTAAAAACGAGACCTCCCAATGAGATGACACTTGACATTGTGGATCTGGAGATAAATGACAGGCTCTTTGATAAGTGATGAATCTAAGGGATGAATGAGTACGCGGAACTTCACAGCTACTTTTGGGTGTCTGCAGTATTTTCTTAATGAAATATCAAAAGAAAGAACTTAAATCTGGATGCCTTATACTACTCAGTCCTCCCCAACCCACTCCCGCCCCTGTAATCCAAAGGGTGAACCAACAGTGCCCTGGGTTAGGGGGCTGTTTCCCGCCCCACCCGGTGCTGAAAGAACCCCCAAGGCCAGAGGGCACCGCCCCTCTGCACACGCCGACGCCGGCGCAGCCCGGCATACCCCACCCAGCCCGGTCGTTCGGCTCACCCAGGAGCCCGTGGGCCCGAGCCGTCCCGCAAAGATGAGGCAAGTCTGGGCTTTTGGCCCCCCGCCCGTCCTTCCCCCAAACCCGGGCCTATGGGCGTTGCCGCAGAGACGGGGCGCGTCCCTGCCCTGGGGATGTTGCTGGCGTCCCAGCCCCGGCCCGGCCCGCCGGGCAACGCGAGCCCAGCGGAGAAACCAAACCACCGTCACCCCCAGGTCCCCCAACCCTCCACACACCCCGGTCGTCACCCAGTTTTCCCTTTGCCCCTTCCCGCGGAGCCAGGCGTCGGGCTCGCTCACCAAGGCGAGGAACGACGGCCTCGCCGCGCCGCGCAGCGCCGGCGGGGCGCAAAAAGACGCTACCCACAATGCCCCGGCGCAAGGGACGGCGCTAGCGCAGCGATGGGTGAGACTACACTACCCACAATGCTCCGGGGCGAGGGCTGCGCTGCCCTGACGGCCCCCAGGGCCCGGGATCACCACCGCTCCAAAGCCTGGGGCACCTGGCTGCAAGGCCCACAAAGCGGAGGGAGGGGGACCTGCCCTCCCCACTCACAGGACGTCAGCTTGTAAGACCAGCTCTGGTGTCTGCTCCTCGGCTCCCACTGGAATCCACCCTAACTAAAAGTATTTTACTGGTAACAAAAATCATTTAGATATAACAGAATAGAAAGCTCAGAAACATCAGTCTTTACAGAGACTGACACGCTTTTTCTAGGACTTTGACAAAAATGTTTTCAAATTACTTCCTAGTTGCTTCTGCTCGAATTATTGAGAACCAGAGTTGGCCACCTACCTAATTTGGCTAGTTTACAAAACAAATGTAAAAAGAAATCAGAGACATAAGACAATAAAATACAAATGATTGTGAAAGTCATCTTGCAGTGTGACAGGTCTTTGCAATCATTAAATCAAAGCAGAGACCATCAAGAAAACAGTGCCTTTTAAAAAAATGCCTTAATACAACAGTGCTAGGGTAAGAGTATCCCTGTTCATAGGTAGAGATCACTCTTATATTGAGAAACAAGAAATTCAGCTGAAGTGACTGAGCCTGCTATGGAGAGAGGAAAGGAACAGTTCCACAAATTCTTCATTGGTAGCTTAAGCTTTGAAACCACAGCAGCTTTGTTACAGGGCAGCCCAGATATAAAAAGGGTTGCCTGACTGTGGGTCCTCACCTGCGCACTTAAAAAGGACTTAATACTCCACTGCAGGCACACACAAAAGGTTAATAAAAGATTTATTCACAAGGGAAGGGGGAAATGAGGAAATGTACAACTCAAGGAGAAAAGTGGGAGATAAAGTCTTAAATGTGTCCTACACGATCCACAGATCTGGAATCCCAAATGTCACTCTGAGAGCTGGCGGTGAGCCAAGAGCTGGGAGGCCAAAAGGCAAGAGCCGGAGCCCAAGGCCCACGTGTCTGGCTTTTATACCAAACCTGGCTGCTTAACTCCACCCTCAGGTCCCAGCAACCCTCCCTTTGGTGATGATGGGATTTGTCTTTCCCAATGTCTTGATGGCTTTGGTCTGGAGTGGGGGTGGAGTCCACAAAGCCTGTATGGGATTAGCTCAGGACATCCTTTCCCCCAAGTTTAATTAAGTACCATGAGTCATGGGGAAAACTTACAGATTGTAAGATCCCTCACTAGTGATCCTGCAAGCAACACATCAAGGTTTTTTTGGTTTTGTAACCTTCCTTCCATGGCTGAGGTTGATGCCCCCATGGCTATAAGATCTAATTCAACTAAAGGGTGTGTGTCTAAACCAAGACACACTGTAGCAAGACAGGAACCTGAAAAATGTGATGTTCATGTCACTGTGAAGAAGTAGTTTGTTGGGGAATTAAAGAAGATACTAAGAAACATCACCTTGGAAGATTACTTCAAGGAAGAGGAAAGTTGATACCACTTGAGAGGCAATCTGGAAAGAAAAGAGATACTACGGCTTTATCACTTTTGATGACTGTGATTTTGTAGATAAAATAGTTTATGAAATACCATACCATCAGGGGTCAGGAGACTGTACAGACAACAAATGCAAAAAATCCAAAGTTCTAGGACTGGCAGAGGAAGCTACTCTCTTTGGGGGGGATTCATACAGAGGTAGTAGAAATTTTGGACGAAAGTCAGGAAGCAACTTTAGAGAACAATCTATCTGATGAATAGGGAAGAGGATGTGGTTTGGATAATGGTTACAGTGGGTACAGAGGAAGATGTGGAGGTGGCAGTTTTGGAGTCAGCACTGATTTCGAAGAAGGAATACAGAGTGCAGTGGAGGACCTGGATATTGCACCAGGGTAGGAGCTACAGAGGTGGTTATGACACTATTACTACAGAGGAGGAAATGGTGGAAGTGGAAATGACTTTGGAAATGATTTTGGATATTTTGGTGACAGTAGGAACACGGGGACATTATGGTGGGGGAAACTATGGTCCAGGAGACAGTTATAAAGGTGGGTGTTATAGGGAAGGAACCAATATTCAACTTCCTCCTATTTCTCATGGGCTTCCCTGTGTAACTCGGAGAGGATGACAGCCAGAAGTAACAGAAGAGTTTCAGGTTTTCAAAATAAAAATGTTTAAGGAACTTATTTCTAAGACATGCATAAATATGCAGTGATATGGTAGAAGACACCATAGAGGCAGAGAGCTGCTTTTTTGAATGACTTGAATGACTTTTGAATGACTATTAGTGGGATCATTTCTTACCTGTTAACTGTCATTTCTTTCTAGTGGTCCTTGTAAGACAATGGAAGCAGGAGTTCCTTGACAATGTTAAATGGGTAAAGTTCAACTGTTTTGTGAAAAACTTTTAAACAATATTCTCAAAATATTGAAAAACTGCTAGCCAGGATCATGTTTTCCTTTTAAAATTATGTGTGTATCTATAGTCAAGAAGCCTTTTTACACTTGCTTTAATAAAATAGCTATAAGGGAAGAAAGTACCTCTGGAATTCCAGCCAAAATAGAATAGACCCCTTCCTACCTTCCTGCCAGGCTCTCCCTCTTACCACTAGAAACCTCTGTACATAACACAACAAACAAGCATAGACAAAATCTGAATGTGAAAGCAAGACCCTCAATGGGCCATGGGATTTGAGCAACCACACAGTTGTGAGTTCTCAATATTTCCAAGTGCTGGAGAATCCTCCAACTAGGAACAGCCTAATAAGCATAGACCAAAAGAACCCTCTAAGAAACAAGAAAATTGTAAGTTATATGGTACTTACATAAAATTAAAATATTGGGCAAACTAGCTTTCCAAAATGGCTATACTAATTTATATCACCACACTCTTTACAATTTACAGTTCTAACAAAAGCTAAATAATATATATTCTTTTTTTTTTTTTAAAGATTTATTTATTTATTTATTTATACAAGCACTGGGTACAGTCAGAAGTGTGGGAGGGTGAGAGAACACCAGAGCCAGAGTGGGGAACAGAACAGGCAGACCGACAAAATACACAGCTGAGGGGAGCGGTGGACGTGGCAGAAAAGGTCTGTCGTGCCATGTGGGACCCTCTCCAGCAGCGGGGGATCGATTGAACCCGTGCTGCAGAGGCTGCAGGCAGCTTCGCAGCCCAGAGCTCAACCCCTGCGCCACCAGGGGAGGCCCAATATATATTCTTAACAATATATATTGTTCAATTTCTTTAAAGACTTGAGCAAAATACACTTCACCAAAGAAGTATATGATGCACAGCATCAATCAAATGTCAATCCAAACCACAAAGAGAGCACTATACACCTACTAAAATGGCTAAAACTAAAAAGACCAGTTGTACCAAGTGTTGGTGAAGGTTTGGTACAACTGGAACTCTCATTGCTTGTGGCAATATAAAATGTTGCTTCAGAAGACAGTATGACAGTCTCTTTTAAAGTTAAACACTCATTTACTATATGACCCAGCAATTTGATTCCTAGATATTTATCAAGAACTGAAAGATTAAAAAGTTTATTCATGAAAGCTCCAAACTGCAAATAACCCAAGTATCCATCTAATAGTAAATGGATAAACTGCAATAACATCCCTAGAATAGACTACTACTTAACAGTAAGAGCACTACTTTGATATAAATGTGTAAGAACATGGATAAGTTGTACATTCCATTTGCCATGTGAAAGAATCCAGGCTGAAAAGATTACATTCTGTTACTATCCCATGTATATATTGTGGGAAAATGACATTATAAGGACAATAAACAGATCAGTTGTTATCAGAAGCTGGAAGGGATGGTGAGAGGATTAGCTGCAAAGGGTCATGGGGGCACTTTAATGGTGACAGAAATGTTCACTGGTGGCAGTTACACTGTTGTATATGATTTTCAAAATTCACCAAATTGTACATGTAAAACAGTGACTTTATTATATGTAAATTATATCTAATCTTTTTTTGAAAAAGATACTCCTTATCTATCACAATTATACCTGCATTTAATTTTGAGCATTTACTGCATTTACTGCAGTAAATTACTATTTACTGCATTTCAAAAAGTTATTCTACAGAAAGCTTGCGCATAAAACAAAGTGTGTGCAAGGACTACCATGGCATGCTTGTGATGGTGCACTAAGGGGAATGCACTTGTTAGGGTTGGGAATTGGAGGGAGATGCTCTGCTTTGGTACTTTTTGGATTTTGAATATATGTGTTCATTGTATGGAAAAACAAAACAAAACAAACAGCATTCTTTAAAGTGATTTCCATGGTCTGGGTGAGAGATGCCGGTGGCCTGGTCAAGGTCTCCTCACCTCTGGGCAAAGGCAAGCAGGCTCTTGCCTCTGCATCTCCACATCTGTTCTGAATGCCTACCCACACTTCTATCAGCCAGGAGTTTTCAAATCCAAGGGCATTATAAGAGTCTTATCCTGGGACTTTGAGCCTCTGAGTTGGAATATGTCTGCCTTCCTTTGCTCTCACACCAGGTCAAGGGCCCCTTGGGGCAGGAAGCAGGAATTTGTGTTTAGGAGTGAGACTAGTCTTCCCAAGGGTGGGTGCTCAGGTTACTTAATGGCATGGCCGCCAGATGGCAGCCTAGCTCCATTCTCAAGGCTAGTTTCAGACACCAAGTCTGTCCAACAAGGTGGCCGCAAGCCAAATGACAGGCACTGAGCACTTGAAAGCAGCCAGTCCTGATTGTTTTACAAAACATACACAGATTTTAGAGATTTAGTATGGAACAAGAAGAAAATGTGGTTTTGTATTGGTACATGTTGAACAAGTATTTTAGAGATAGTAAAATATATTGAAATGATCACCTATATTTTTAAAAAAAGATTTACGTATACAAGAACTAGGGTGTAGGCCAGGGGTGTGGAGGGTTCTCGAGGATTCACCAGAGACAGAG